GGGGTGTTCCATGGTATCAAGCTGCAAAGCCTTGTATGTATTTCCACACTGAAATCCTTTTAAGCCAAGCAACATATTAATATATCAATCATATAAAATATTAGTGTTTGTACAAAACTATCATATGGGGAAATGACTGAAAACCAATTAAAATATCACACGGGAGAGCCCACTAATCCACAAGATCCTTAAGAAAACCTAAATGTGTTATCTTAGTAATTTTACCAAAATAAATATCCTAAGGAGTACTAAGGAAAAAAATAACAGGCAAAAATCTCAGTTTTAGTAATATCACTAGCCCGGCCAGGCATGGCTCAGCGGTTGAGTGTCGACCTAGGATCCAGGCGATCAGGGTTCAATTCCCGGTCAGGGCACATGCCCCGGTTGTGGGCTGGATCAATGACTCTCTCATCATTGATGTTTCTGTCTCTCTCTCCCTCTCCTTTCCTCTCTCTGAAATCAATAAAGATATATTTAAAAAAAAAAAAAAGAAATATCACTATTAGAAATGGCAGCATCTGACAAATTATTTTGTTTGTGCCAAAGAATCTTGTGTTGATGCCGCCGGTGCACTCATTTGGGGAGAGAAGCTCCTCTTGCCTCCTAAGTCCATCTCTCTGCTCACTAAACTAATTTTGCAGAGCTACATCACTCAAAACAGAACAAGAGTTTAGGCAGTTCCTCTCCTATGGCAAAAAAAATACATCCCTTTTCCATCTGCAGACTCTTTCAAACCAAACAAAAACAAGAACTTATTCACAATTCCCGTGTTTCTAACCAACTATAATTAAGTCAAAGGAATACAGCCTGTGATGAGCTGAATGAAGAAATGTTTCTGTCTTCTCCACAACTCCCCCATTGATTTTTCATTGCTGTTGCCTCAAAAAGTTAAGTATGACATGACAAAACATTCACTAAAAGGAAGCAGCCTAAAGTCCAAAAAGTCACACAATACCTTTATTCTGGTCTGCCACAAAAAAAGGCCTAGAGCCCTAACCTGATGACAAATTGCTAACAGCTGACACTACTTGCTAAACCGTCATATGAGCAGTTTCAGACCTAACATGATTATACAGAGAAGTTGTTGCTTATTTATTATGCTATATCACAATCACTTATTTTTATGTGACTCACATATTATACCATGAGTTACTGTTTTCTTATTGATTTTTTTTTTGGAGAGGAAGCAAGAGAGAGTGAGAGAAACATTCATGAGAGAAACATCAACCGGTTGCCCAGAGCAGGGATTGAACCCACAACCTTTTGGTGTATGGGACAACGTTCCAACCAACCAAGCCACCTGGCCAGGGCTACACCGTGAATTTCTTAAGGGCACTGAACACCACGCAAAACCTTGGCACATAAGCCCTCAAATATTTGACGAATAAATGATAAGTATATGAGTTCACACATGAAAATAATGCTTTTATATTACCTGAGGGGCAGGGAGTACTAGTTTGCTTCTCTTTTTAGTAAATTCAGAAACTCCACTTGTTTGAAGAATAGCTGATGGTAAATCAGATTCTTTTTTCCTTTTCAAATGCTGCTTATCTTTTTTTCTGTCTCTTCCTTCTTTTTCACTGCCATTGATCGAGGTAGAGATTTTTAAAAGTTACATATAGGCAATAACATTAAAAGCCATATAAATACCCCTACATTTTGAACAAAATAATCCCATTTCTAAGAAAATTACTAATTAACAGATAAAAACTATATACATTAAGTTGGTTCCTACGCCATTAACTACCTACTATATTCAAGAAGAATGCGGACTTAGAATAAAAACAGAATTAAGAAAATAGGATTCACTACATGATTTAAGTATTAAATATTAAAAACGATATACTTTTAAAGACTATAAGCTAAATGTTACATATAACATCAAAATAAAAACCTAAAACTATTCCTATTTCATATTATACTCACATAAAAATATGTGTGTACACATAGGAAAATGATGTAAAAAGAAAACAATTATATAAAGGGAACAAAATTAAAACATTGTAAATTTAAAATTTTCCCCTTTAAAACTGATTCAATTGTCTAACTTTTTAAATTCACAAAATTTTTAAAAAGGACATTTAAGTCCTGACATATTACACCAAAGAGTTGTTAGGAAGTAAAAAAACAAACCCAAGGCTAACTTTTAAAGCTCCAGGAATGCCCTGGCTGCAATGGCTCAGTGGTTGGAGCACTGGCCTTCAGGAGGCAATCAATTGATGTGTCTGTCTCTCCCCCCACACCTCTTCCACTCTCTCTGGTGATTAACAAAAAACAAAAAACAAACAAAAAAAAGCTCCAGAAATACCACCTCCCTTTCTGCCCGCCATCCTCTCCCCCTATCTAGTCAACTTCCAAATGATTGGTTTTCATCTTTAACCTCTTTATTTGTAGAAGTTACCTAAAGAAGGTCCTAATTTAAGAAATAAATACCATGGAGTACATCCTGTTTTACAGTGCCTAATATCTGTTGTTTAGTAACAATTCATGCAACAGAAATAAAATGTCATTCATGAAGTAAAAAACTAAAAATCTTTGACAATCATAAGTGGTTCTCCCCACAATTTTCAGATATAAGAATTAAAGAAACTCTTAAAATCCCTTAAAACACGCAAAATCTTCTGTACCCTAAGACAAACATTTTATAAGTATACCTATTTATCCCCATTAAGTGAAAATTTTTACAATGCAAGACAAAAAGAACCAGACCGGATTTTGATAGATTCCTTTAGGCTATTACTAAAACAACTAACCTGTTTACAAATGTACATAAATCTTAAATTATGACTCAGTGAGTAGACAGTTCACTAAGAACAGTGCTGACATTTCAAGAGATACAAACAGCATTCCATGCTAAAAACAGAACAGCTAAGGTCACTGATTTCCTCAGAAAGGTGACCCCATTAAATAATAAAAGTATACATAGACTACAATGTGCTAAATAATAAAAATCTGGCTCTGACAAGGATACTACATGGCCTTCCATAAAATTCCTGCTGTACCTTTCCATTTTCAAAATCAGAAAGGCACTTACGATCTTAGCTCGCCATCAAGATCTTGTTGTCTTAACTTCCTGAAATCTGCATCAAGAGCCTGGTAGTTTTCCTCAGAAGTATCATAGAAACCAAGAGCAGGCTTTTTTTCAAATGGGATTTCAGCATTATAATCAACTCCTCTTTTCTTTTTTCTCTTCTTCTGAATTTCTATGCCAGCTGCTCGAAGTTCTCTTCTCTTCTGGAGGGCAGCAAGACGCCTGAAGAAAAAGAACACAAGAACACCTTGAAAATCATATGCCACCAGGAAGGGATAGATTATCCAATAAAGTTAGGAAAACTCTTTGGTTATTTGAGAAAGAAAGAAATCCTCACCTCATACAATTCACCAAAATAAAGTTCAGTTTCAATTTAAAGGCAAGCGCACGTAACAAGAAAAAACAGAAGAAACTGTAATATGTATCTTATATCTCTGGATGGGAATGTAGTCACATCCACAATTTGAAATTTAAATTTTATATCTCTGTAGCACTATTTTTAAAAAAATAAAGCAAAGTTAAAAGGCAAATAGAAAAGATATTTGCAATTAATATTATGAATGGTTAGTTATCAAGAATCTATGCAGCCCGGCCGGGCATGGCTCTGTGGTTGAGCATCGACCTAGGATCCAGGAGATCGCGATTCGATTCCTGGTCAGGGCACATGCCTGGGTTGTGGGCTCGATCCCCAGTCGGGGACATGAAGGAGGCAGCGAATCAATGAGGACTCTCTTATCATTGATGTTTCTATCCCTCTCTCCCTCTCCCTTCCTCTCTCTGAAATCAATAAAGTTATAAAAAAAAAAAAAGAATTGACGCAATTTTTTTAATGCAACCCAAGGGAAAAAACAAAAGAAAATAAACAGTTCACTAAGGAAAAAAAATACAAATTGCTGAAATGACAAAAGGTTTACTTAACTAAAATCACAAATTAAATCAACAAGTACCATTTCTGCATATCTAATTACTAATATTTAGCTTTTTGTCTTGTTTTAATGGCAACGGTGCTAAACAGTGGACACTCTCCCACAGTGGCAGTTAAGAAAGTAAACTGGTGTAGCTTTCCCCACAGAGAACTTGGAAAAATACATTAAAACACTAAAATTTTTCACATTTTTTAACCCAGCCTTAGCCTAAGGAAATAAAGAACAGGAACAGCACTTAGCTGTAAAGCTGTCCTTCAAGCACTGTTTGTAATAGTGGATAACCAGACATAATCTAAATATCCAACAATAAGAAATTAGTTAAATGAATTTATACATTGCTATAAGAAAGAACATTATACAGCCATCCATATAACCTTTAAAAAGCCTATAAATCTACTCTGGCATGGAAAGATGCCCAAGACGCACTGCTATGTAAAAACTGTTTCAAAGTCTACATGTTACAGAGCAACATGTAAAAATTATATGTATATCTATTAATGAATAAATGCATGGGGAAATATGAAGGATGTCCACCAAAATATTAACAGTGATAATCACTGGAAGTTGGAATTTTGTTTAATTTTTACTTTTTAATTGTACTTTCCCATGATGCCATAGTTTTAATGATTTAATGATGAGGAAGTTATTCACAATACTAAAGGGGGAATATCAATCCACAAAAATCAATTATAGGAGCAACTTCCAGCTTGAGGGACTCTGTAGAACCACTTTCTAGCAGAACTAACAAAAATTAGTTTAAAATTTTTTCTTTTAAATAATTTTAAGTCTCTGAAAAGGATCCTAAGGGGATACAGCAAATGAAGAAACATTTATTTGAGAAAATCCCCTAAAACTTGGTAAGAAAAGTGAGTCTGTGATACTTGAATCTAGACCCATTCCTTCCCCTCTCTTCCTCCCTCCCAGCTCAGGGAGATGGAAACTCCACTCCACACTGGTGCAGCCAAGAACACAGGCTTCTTAGGTCTCTCCTCCAGCTTCCAGTAAGAGGGCTTTTATTCCAGGAGCATTTCTCACCCTGCCTCCAGATACCCACTGCCGAGGCTAGCTCCATCCACAGTGGCCAGGAAGTACTGGCTTCCTTCTTCTGCCCAGACAAAGGCTCTATCCTGAGCACACTGCTGCTAAGAATAATACAGCCCCAACAGCCTTTGCCCCAGATTGTGGGATGAGGCAGGCCAAGGAAAGCTGGAGTGTCACACTCCCTCACCAAGCACTCAGCTCCTAAAAGTAAGTGTGTCATTCAGAGACAAGCACATCAGAGTGCACTAGTGAAACAGGAACTCCAAATCACTTCCCAAAGAAACTAACTTCATTTGCAACAGAGCATGGAGAAGTGAATCCTAAGGGTACTCTCAAAAACAGTGGAAGTTGTGATGAAGCAATTGGGAAGAACCTTTCACTGGCAATATAGGATAAGCAGTAGGCCCACTAGTTTCCCAGAGAGGAACACAGGAAGAGACAGGTGGCAGAAACTCTCCTGGGATCAGAACAAATCAAACCCAGACCTCAGAAACTATCCCTTCAAAGGAACCCAAATTTGACTGATCAGTTTATGGAGTAATTTATGCCCCAAAATGTTGTTGAAAACAATAAAGCCATCAGCTAGCAATTAGTAGAGTTGGGTGTAGCCAGGGGAAAAAAAGTCAAATAAAGTCCTGTCAAAACCAGGTTATCCCAGGGTGACTGTGGGTATATCCAACACTGCACCCCCAAGAGAAGTAAGATCAGAGGCTTTACATTTCTGAGATGAGGGAAGGGGAGAACAGACTTCACTAAATAATCCTGTCAGTTACTAAACAAGCAAGCAAGCAAATAACAATAACAAGGAGGTGTGGGGGAACACCAGTACCCAGAATTACTAATATATCCTCTAAGTTCTACAGTTCTCAATAAAAGATTATGAGACATGTGAAGAAATAGGAAAGCATAACCCCATACATCAGTAAAAAGCAGGCAACAGAAACTGTCTCTGAGAGCTACCAGATGTCGGATTTAACAGACAGATTTCAAAGGAGCCATTATAAATATGATCAAAGAACAAAAAGGAAAAATGATTAAAGAAGTAGAGAAAGGTATGACGACAATGTTGCATCAAATAGAGAATATCAGTAAAGAGACAGAAATGATTAAAAAGAACCACATGGAAATTCTGGAGTTGAAAACTATAAAGCTGGAATGAAAACTTCACTAGAGGGGCTCAACAGTAGATTCAAACTGACAGAAGAATTAGCACACTTGAAGATAGACGGGCAAAGATCATGCAATCTGCAGAACAGAGAAAAAAGAATGAAGAAATTTGAACAGAGCCTCATAGAAATGTGGAACACCAGTAAGTGCACCAATATATGCACAAAAAGAGTAGCAAAAGGAAAGGAGAGAAAAAAGGGAGCAAAATAAAATACTTCATGAAATAATGACCAAAAATCTCCCAAGTTTACTGAAAACCATTAACCTAGGCATCCAGAAAGTTCAAAACTCCAAGTAAGATAAACATAACATAAAGAAATCCACAAAGAGAAACACCATTAAAAATACTAAAAGCCAAAGACAATCTTGAAAGCAGCAAGAGAAAAATGACTCATCACTTACAAGGGAACCCCAATAAGATTAACATCTGAATTCTCATCAAAACAGTATATATAGGCCCTGGCCAGTGTGGTTCAGATTGTTGGGCATCGACCCGAGCACCAAAAGGTTGCCAGTTCAAATCCCAGTCAGGGCACATGCCCCGGTTGCAGGCTCGATCCCCAGTAGGGGGGGTGCAGGAGGCAGCCGATTGATGTTGTGCTTTTACATCAATGTTTCTCTCTCCCTCTCCCTTCCTCTCTCTCTAAAAATCAATTTTTTAAAAAACAGTATACATAGTATGACCTAATCTTATGTTACTTTGTGTGTACATACACATAAATGTACATCTATATTGAGAAAGGTTTCGAAGGATTTATTTCAAAAGTTAAAGTAACTTCACTCTTTAAAGAAAATAAAGACTTCAAATGACATTAGAAAACCTCTGCAATATAATATTAAGTGAACATAACCAAGCTATATAGAATTGTATCAACCATGCCCCCAAAAGAAAATAGAATACTGAAGGAAAAGTGTTTTATTTTTGCAGTCAATAAAAAGCTTTAAGTTATAAAATAGATCTGTTATTTAGCATTTAAATAGGCTTGCACTGAACTTTGCATACAGACCAATGTAGTCCAGGGATTTCAAACCAGAGTGCCACAGCACACCAGTATACCACAAGAATTTTTAGAACATGCAGTATCTGACTATTTAGTCAAGGGCACTGACTTCTTTTCCCTTAGACTGTCAAATTTTAAAAAATGACAACAGCCAACACAACAACAGCCATCTGGTGTGACTGAATCAAAATTATACCTGTTTTTTTTTGGTGAGATCATCAAAAAATATATTTTTGGTGTGTCGCACAATTTTAGCAATTAGTTTATGTGTGCTAAGAGATGAAAAAGGTTGAAATTCGCTGATCTAGTCTATGACAAGATATACATACAACATAAATTATAAAGATGTGTAGACCCTCCAAGAAAATCTACAAGAAGGTGTAGGGTAAACTTAAAGCTGAAAAAATTTACTTAAAGCAATGTCAGCCATACTTGGAGATTTTTCACACATGCACTTGCCACATCCTGGGCCTAATCCATATGGTTAAAAGGCTCAAAAAAAAAACAAAAAACTGGTTCCCAACCAACCATGGACAAAAATGGAAAAGTGCTTTTTTTCAACCTTACTCAAATTATTTATCCCTAACAAATGTACAGAATAGAAAGGTGGCTGATACTGGGCATAAAATTTAGTACCTCCTCTTGGTTTTTGCTTACTGTCCCAGCTCAGTCATATTCCCATCGTAACCTCTTCTGGGCTACTGACTGGCGAGCTATGCCAACAAGCATCCTCAGACAAGAAAGAATCCTCCATCCCAGATCTGGCACTTCAAAGCTATTACTGGGGAAACCATCAACACAATGCTAGTCATCAGGTGGGGAAGCACTTCCTGGCTTGGGGACGACAAAAGGCAGCTGTGTAGGCTAGGGAGGTTATCATCATGCCTGAACTCCAAAAGCTTCTGAGCACTTACACAGTTCAGGTTTTCCATTTACCCACTTCTGGGCCATTAGGATGAAGAGTCAACCATGGCTCTAACCAAAAGGAAAGAGAGAGGGGAAAGTGGAGAAAACCTTGAATAAAGGGCAACACTTAATTCACTCACTTTTTAAATAAAAATTTCTGTGAAAGCCTAAAATATGGTTTAAGGTTAATTAATTCCCTCCATTTCAGTTAAATTTCCTGTTTTAAGTCAGTGCCTACCCAAAACTAATCAAGGAGAGTAACTAATTGGCAATCACGCGGAAGTCATATAGCCTGTGTGTCCTCCAGCCATCTGACTCCAAGAAGGCCACAACATATGAAGCACTCTTATGCTAACAGAAGAATCCAACAGACCAAGTAAATTATCTGGACATTACTTCTGCTGTATCTTACCAAAAAAAAATTTTGTGTGTGTATTCTGAAATGATTAGGAGGAAAACTAAGACATTTCCAAAGTAATAAAGAATATTACCAAAACCAGAATTGGACAATTCTAATTATTACTCACCAACAGGGTTGGATAAACCATGCAGTTTTATCTGGCTAAGGATACACGGACTAATTGTTCAACTATGAATGGAAACAACCATACCTTGCTTCTTCCAACTGTTTCTCTCTCGCTTTCCTCTTGGCCTTCTTTCCCTGAGTATTAGCCAGGCGGGCTCTAGCTTCAGAAAGCATCTCAAGTTCATCTACAAAAATAAAGAGAAGAAAAACTAAATTCTTCTCCAACAGAAACAAGGCGTGTAAGAGAGGTGCTCTAGTGCTCAAGATGAGAAAGCCCAGCTTCTACACATGAGAACAATTCCTACATACCAGGGATGTTAAGAGCTAAGAAAAATTAAATAGGTAAAGCATCTAGCAAGTATTCATTAAAAAGTGGCTATAATTATCATATCTTTCATTATCATCTACTAATGGCAAAGCACAAGTTGTGAAATACTATGAAACTACTATTTAATTATAAGGGAATCGATCATCTTCATTCGATACACCTCTCTTTCCTCAGAACAATTTCTCTCCTCCAATATATTTTCCATAGCTCCCCAGAGTAGAATATAAATTCATTATCTGTGCTTTAGACCAATTCCTATACAAGGCTGTCCAATGGAATCACAAGGGAACTTTGAAAAAACTCAGATTCCAGGATTGCCCCTCCACCCCTGAAATTACTGACTGTTATGTCCAGGGAAGGCCCTGGTACCTGTATTTTTAAAAGTTCCCCAGGTAACAATGATGCACCAGAACAGCCACTGTCAGCCTTTGGGAACCACTACCCTCAAACTTTTAAATTTTCAAAACTAAACAATTATTCACTGAATGCTTCACAACAATCCTGTAAGACAAATGCTATTCTCCATCTGGCAGGAAATGGAATCAAAGCTCAGAGAGATTACACAACTTGCCTAATGTCACACAGCTAATAAGTGGCAGACATGGGTCTAAAATCCAGTTCCTTTGATGCTTGACTCAATGTCTCAAGGAGTCATCCTAAGTCTCCATTAGTCTTGTGGTATTGCTTTTTCACAGATTAAATTACCTGCCTAAAGTCAAAGTAGTTAATAGGACTGGAGCCCAAAATCCTGACTTCTTGGCTCTCTCCACAGAATGAGAATAAGAATACAGGATATCAAGGGCTTACCTCTAGCCTCCAGGAAATCTGTCCAGTAGTATTACATTGCTTATTCTATTAAAGGAATTGAAAAATCAGAAGATAGAGGGACACTGTCCAAAAAGAGCAATTACTCTATAAAAGAAGACTGGACACATTTAGAATGAGACTTAGAATAACAACAGCAGACTGAACTGGGATTCTAAAATGTCAGTGGCATTTAGGAAGGAATTAAGGGCTAAAAAGAAGCCTGAGGAGTGTATGAGTCGCCAAAGAAATAACTTCCTTACAAGCATATACTTACCCTCGTCCATATCAATTGGATCAGGCCGTGCTGGTTTTGTTTCAGGATTTGGATCTATTTCTCCAGGTTTAAGTTTTCGTGGATCATCTGTTGTTTCCTCTTCATTGTCTCTTTGGGCCGCTTTATCCCTAGAAAGGAGTCCAGATGAGTTAGTCATACTATCACACCATTTAGCCTTAGAAATACCAAGCTTCCTAGAGCCGGCACACTTTTCCTTCAAAAACCCAATGAAACAACATAGATGGACATAGAGAGTATTATACTAAGTGAAATAAGCCAGTCAGAGAAAGACAAGTACAGTATGATTTCACTTACATGTGGAATCTAATAAACAAAATAAGCTAACAGAAACAGACTCATAGATACAGAGAACAGACTGACAGCTGTCAGAGGGGAGGGGACAGAGGGGCTGGGTGAAGGGATTAAGCAAAAATAGCAAAACAAAACTCACAGACAGACAACAGTATGGTGATTACCAGAGAAAGGAGGTTGGGGGGAAGTAGGAAAGGGTAAATGAGGATAAATGGTGACAGAAGGAAACTTGGGATCGTGAGCACACAGTACAATGTACAGATGATGTTTTGTAGAATTATACCCCTGAAACCTATATAATTTTATTAACCAATGTCACCTCAATAAATTCAATTTTTTTAAAAATCACACTGAAAAAAAAACACACCAATGGATGGACATCAACAAAATAAAGCATTTCTGCTATTGCTTCACCTGAAAGAAATGATATTAAAAGTCCCTCTAATTTCAGTGAGTGTTTCCATTCACTATAAAATAGGATCCAAGCAGTCCCTTAATCACAAATGCAGTACAGCCATATAATACAAAAAATATATATACTATTAGTGACAAAACAAAATGTTCCAGTAGTTAACTTTCAGCAGTATCAGCGATTTTTTTTTGTTTTACTATTTCCACAGCCCCCCGCCCCCAGGTTTTCTATGATAAACATGAATGGTTTGTACATTTTCAAATTATTCTTTTAAAAAGGATTTAACAGAAGAAATAATTTTGACCAACCACATGAGATTTGGAGTATATAATCCAATAGCTTTAGCTCCTTTAGCTTTATCAGATCTGTAACTAAATGTTTAAAGATAGAAAATGCTAAAAGTTTATTCAGACTCATTCAGAAGATATACACACATTTTAATACTGCTTATGGAGCTTTACTTACAGAAGAAATTCATAGTGTTCCAAGCACTGGGCAGCTGTTCTTCCAATGATTGGAGCGATAGTCCTCCACTGAGTTGGCATCAACTTGGCCAAGTGCAAGAGTTTTTCCTCTTCTTCTCTGGACCATTCTGTTTTCTTAATGCTTGGATCCAGCCACTCATACCTATTAAAAATATACAATTTAATACAGTAATCAGTCACCTATCATGAATATCCTATTTACATATTAGATACACTGATGTAATTCTCATCAGAGAATTACAGAAGGCAATTCTCATCTTTCAATTACAAAAGCTGTTTTTTTACAACAGAATAGTCACTGCTTTTGTTTGATGTTTTTAAATTTAAGTGAAACTACTGTCATTATCTGTCTATTCGCATGCCCCATCCAACCCACCTTTTCCATTCAGTTTACTTAGCGGGGTGAGAGGCTGGCAAACAAGATACAAGCCTTACCAAACATCAGAGTAGGGGCTTAGCTCCACTAAGAGAAGCAGAAATCAGAACCACTTATTCAGACTGAGGACCATCTTCCTCTCTGAGATCCAATCTCTACATTATGATGCTTTCCCCTGCTCAGGTGCCTAGCAAATTAGGTCACTCTTGTACGATTAAAAACATGACCCTCGTACCACATGAGTCAGGGCTGGGGCCTGATCACTCATGCCAAGAACACATATGAAAAGTTTACTGTGTCTACTATCTTTTGACTTAAAAGGGAATACCACAGGTATAGTGATGGGTTATGTTATATTTTGGGGTAGCAAATATATATTTCAACTGTATTATCAGGAAACTCAACTATTGTGAGCTAACCTAGAAAGTTAACCATTATTTATCATTCATTTCTTTGGGAAAGAAAGTTCGAACAACTTTTAAACTTTTGGAGAACAATCCACTTATAAGCTGGAGTCCATATATACCTAAAAACAGATTTATTTTATGCTTCACAAAGCACTCTCAAACACATTAACTCACTTGAGCCTCATATCTCCGCCAGTTAGAGCCAAGTATTATTATCCCCAAAAGGGAAAAAACAGGGGCAGGATAGAGAGGGTAGAAAAATGACTTGCCTAATATCACACAGGAAGCAAGTGACAGCTAAATCTCAAATCTAAATTCCCATCTCCCACTGCATCCTTTCTGTTATATTACAATGCCTGTTTCTTTGGTAAGGTTCAAAGAACTGACATTTTTCTCATCATAATTAAGGTTGTCTTCTGTTTTCCATTCATTAACTAGTACATACCATCTGGCTTTGCACTGCTTTGCTGATTTTCTATGCAGAAGTGAGGCAATCCTAGACCATTGGTTTTTCCCATATTTCATTACCGCTGCTTTCAGAATTTCATCCTAAAAAAAATTTATCAAAGAAAAACAAAACTCCAAGTGAGAAAAGACAAAATTTAAATGAACTCTAATAGGGTTTCTGGAAAGAAAAAGACACACACATACCTCCTAGATCAGTGATTTTTCAACCTGTGTGCTGCAAGAATTTTTAAAACATGCAATATCTGACTGTTTAGTCAAGGGCACCGACCTCTTTTCCCTTAGACTGTCAAATAAAAAAATGACAGCAGCCAGCACAATAGTCGTCCCGTGTGAATAAATCAAAATTATACCTTTTTTGTTTTTGGTCAGATCAGCAAAAAATAATATAATTTTCGGTGTGCTGCAGAATTTTAGTAGTTTACATGTGCCATGAGATGAAAACTGAAAATCACTGTCCTAGATTTTTCTAAAAAGGTAAAAATACCTAACTTACTATCATACTAAAGAGAAAGCCAGAATCAGCACAATGCAAGAAATTAAGAAGACATCTCTTAGACGGACTTCCTACCCTCCCTTACGCACAACCCTAGACCCCTCCTCAAATAAACTGGGATGGATACAGCCCAATCTGAGAAATCCTACTTGATAAGAGACTCACAAAAAATAATCTCCAATGTGTGGCTGTCATTCTCCTCAAAAGAGTACAGCTTATTCACTTATTCACTCAAAAGACATTTCCTGAACTCCTACCTTACACCAGGTCGTGTGCTAAGGGAAAGAGAACCCAATAGGACACATCCAGCCCTCAAGAAGCAAGTCAAGACTCTAGTGACTCCATTATCCAATCCAGGCTTCCTGCCTCATTTATGAATGGCATTTTCTCTCTATCCCAAAACCCCCACTCTGACCCTAGGATCCACATACAGATCTAACTTGAGAATTAAGTATTTCTCTCCCACTCTACCGGTTAGCTCTCCTCCAGCCTCCTCCAGTCTCTAGCTACTGTTTCACGAGGGCACCCATTCTGATATGGAATTCACCAATCCCAGGGGAGCCCAGCAAGATAAGCCATAGACACCAAGGATAATAAAGCCATAGATAAATGCACTTGGGGCATTTTGCTTTTAGGCTTTTTTCCACTTGAGTTATATGCCTCATACATGAGCTGCTCCACCCCACCACACCTTCTCATCATCAAAGACTTAAAAAGGCCCCAGAGCTTTGGCCACTGCAGAGGAATCTTGCTGTTACTTGATTCTGTACATCTGTCTCTCCCCTGAAGTCATCTCTTCTCCAATTTAAACAGCCTGGATCCTCCTGTGCAAGCTGTGAGGCAAGGTTGTCACTGACTTTATTTGTAACTTTGTTGTAACATAAACACGCCTTCAACTTAGTATATACAGGCATGAGCAAAAGTAGGTTTACAGTTGTAATACAAATAAGTAGTATAATAATAAATAATACAAAAATTAACTGTTTTGCAAACTCACAACTGTAAACCTACTTTTGCCCACCTGTTTAGCAGTTATCTACCCTACTAAATTCATTCAACAATTTGCTAAGCAACCTACTTCATGTTGGTTACTGTCCTGAAGGTTCTAGGGGAGACCTCTTGCAGTGCTGTCTGGTGGGGGAAAGAAATAGCAACTAGCACCTACTGAAAGAATACTAATTATCATCCCCATTAAGAAGATGAGAAAACTGAGCTGCTGAGAGGTTAACAAACTTACCCAGCATCACACAGAAAGATGTGATGCCTGCAAAAGGTCAAAGCAAGCATAACAAATGGATGAAAGAGGAGCGATGGGAGCACCAGGGGAGGAACTAGTTTTTTACAGGAAACGGGCAAAAATTCCAAGAAGAGTTTCTGAATTGGATTTTGAAGGATGGTTGGAAAGACACCAAGCAGTAGGAGGCTATTTAAAGTACAAGATATATAAAGACAGGGATCATGAAAAAAATATGATGTGCTCTAGAAACTGACAAATTTAGTGCACTCTGAACATAAACTGCACTACCGTCTCATTTCTACCGGCTCACCATTGGCAGTATCCACTACATTTCTGGAAGCAAAGACACTACTGTAATCACTTTATCCCATCTGGCTTCTACTTGCAGGCTGAGGAGGAGTGACAGGAAGAGACAGGCCTTGGGATCTGTCGGGAGGACAAGTTATGCCCTGACAACTGATAACCAGAGGGAGGAGGGTATAACCGGGCTCTTGGAACCTGGCACTCAAGCCGCTTCCCCTCTGCACGGAAGTCAATGAAGAAACAAAGTTGTGGCCACAGCACTTCTTTATTTTTGAGTATCAAAGAAAGGCACGGTGCCTGGGCTGAGGGGCAAGTGTGCCCCCAGAAGACAAACTCTCGCTGACGTCCTATCTCCCCCCTCCATCCTCTGAGTTACTCCAGGGCAGGGGGGCGTATCCCCTACTCAACGAGTGTTCATTGGGGGCCTAACAAGCGCCTGGCAGGTAGTCAGGTGGTTAAATCACGATCCCTGTCCTTGAGGAGCTCAAACAACGCAGGATCGGGAACGAGTAAAGGCTCGGAGGGTCCGCCCGGGGCTGCCCCCCAAGCGGACCCTGCAGAGTAGCCGCCTCGCCTCCCGGACCTCCGCGCGCGTGCGCACAAGCTGCGGAGGGGGCGAAGGGCAGCGGACGGCGGGAAAGGGGAACTTACCTCAGTATTCCTCCAGACGCCCCCCTTAATCATAATTCGAGGCATCTTGGCGGCGGGGTGTCTCGGCAAGCGGCCGAGTGGAGCTTCAGAGAAGTAGCAACGGCGCTGCGGCCACGAGACTTAAAGCCGCCACTTCCTCCAGGCGCGACCTTCTCCTATGTAGAGATCTGCGCAGGCGCAAGGAGGTGGGCGGGGGAGCAGAGTAGCAAGTATCGCGAGAACTCGGGTGGCTGAAAGGAAAATAAGCGCCTCGGTGTTAAAGCTGTAATCTGGCGCTGACAGAAAACCCTGAATCCACTCCGGCCGAAGCGCAGTACGCCGTGCGCATGTCCAGAACAGCTCGGAGGAAAACGCGGCGGTCGCGAGATATCCGCCGCGGCTTTTTGCGAGGAACGTAGAGGTGGGATTGGTCGTGACGTCACCTAGTGGCGGAGAATGGGAACAGCATGCGCGTGGAGTTCCAGCCCAGTTGGTTTAAAAAGCGCTTTGTTAACGATCGGTTTAGCACTTTCTTAGGCATTTAACTAATGGGAATTTATGCACAGAATACTCGGGAAAAGGCAATAGCTTACTTAAGCCTAAATTTCCCAACCTGCAGAGATAATAGGGCCGACCTGATAGGGTTGGCCTAAGGATTAAATATCATAAACCTAGCACAGTATCTGATACATAGTAACTGCTCAAAAAAAGCGGCAGCTGTGCCTGGCCGGCCTGGCTCAGTAGTTGAGCATCGACCTAAAATCCGGAAGATGGAGGTTCGATTCCCAGTTAGGGCACAGGCGTGGGTCGTGGGGTCATTCCCAGCAGGGGCGGGCAGGTGCCAGCGATCCATGGCTCTCTCATTGATGTTTCTCTCTCTCTCTTCCTTCCTCTCTCTGTAATCTATAAATAAATAAATAAATAAATAAACACTTGAAAAGAAAAAAAGTGGCAGCTATTATTACAAGAAGGGCAACCTTCAGAGATCAGTGGTTGTGCCAGAAACCCTCTGTAGGATGTGTGACTGTTACCTCCAGTTCATTCCACCCTCAACATCCATTCAGTTGCTATGGTTACAGTCACACACACACACACACACACACACACACACACACACACACTTGCTGTCCGTGTGATTGATCTGATCAAAGCTGAGCCAATTAAGTCTCCTCCCCAGGAATTTTGACATGAACCTGGAAGAGGTCGGCCTCTCTGCTGGCCTATGAAGCTCTAATATGTGACACCCAGAAGTTGTCCGCCACGATGTCTTGTACTATGTAGACTTAAGGGAAGAAAGCAGGCGCCAGATGCATTGAGAGGAGCAGAAAGGAGCGTACAGAGACACAGAGGCAGGTCCTGACTGTGGGAGTCCCTGGATCCAGTATGTCCCTCAGTCCTAGATGCATTCCTGTTCTTGAGTTCTAATTATTTGTCCCCTTTTGGCTTTAGCCAGGTGGAGTTGGGTTTCTATTATTTGTAAGCAAGCTTCCTAACAAACCCTGCCCTCTCTCAAGAGCCATTTCAGATCTAACATTCCAAGAGTCCGTGATGATGGCTTCTCCGTCCCAGTCAGGACCACCTCTACCACATAAGTCACCTTTGTATCAACTAGAAAAGGTGCCCCTTCTTCAAAGCAATTTATTGACACCCGCTGGAATATTGTCACAAAATATTGTTTTGAGAACAGAACACTCTTATTACAAGAAAATGCAATCTACCATGTCTACAATGTGAATTGTGTCCCCTAGGGGCATGCATTGTATAGCCACTTCTTCCTCACTCACCCAAATATGTTCCTCAGAACACTGGGTACTCCATTAAAAATAAACAAGTTTTTCATGATTGCTTGAATTTGAAAAAAAAAAAGAATGCTCTGTCAACTCTCTTTTACCAAAACTAAAGCCTGTAAGAAATTATAAGATGAAGAAATCAGTCTCCCTGTTGTGGGTTGAATTGCTTCTCCCAGACAGATATGTTCAAAGTCCTATTCCCTGGTATCTATAAATACGGCCTTATTTGGAAATAGAGTCTTTGCAGATGTAATCAGGTTAAGACGAGGTTATACTGCAGTAGGGTGAGTCCTAATTCAATGACTGGTGTCCTTAAAGGAAGAAGAGACGTGGACACGCAGGTAGAACAGTTTGTGAAGGAGGAGGCAGAGGTTGGAGGTGGATCTACAAGCCAAAGAAATGCCAAGGATTGCCAGCAACACCAGAAGCTGAGAGAGGCATGGAATACATCCTAAGAAGGAACCAACCTTGCTGACACCTTGATTTCAGACTTCCAGCCTCCAAAGCTGAGAGGATAAATGTATCTTGTTTTAAGCCACCCAGTTTGTGGTACTTTGTTCTGGCGCCCCTAGGAAATGAATACACCCCTTTCATAATATAGCATTTCCAAACTAATCTGACCCCAGAATCCTTTTTTCTTATATCTATTGATATGCCAGAAACACAATTTGGGAAACCGTGGCCCAGGAAAAAGAGGTTGGCAGCCCATCCAGATTATGAGGGGATACAGGGAGATGTAAGCAGGGGGGTTCTGTAGGTTGCATTAACCCTCCAATTCCCCACCCCTCGTCCCTTTCTGGGGAGCTGGTTCTGAGCTAACTTTGTTTAGCCAAGGAAACAATCAAAATTCTAGTTTCCCTTTCATCTAGTTTTTTGCCATCAAGAAACTGTCCAGGAAAGGGCTAAAATTAGGGTCAAAAGCCTGTGAGAACAGCAAGCCATGGCTAGGGGCTGGGGTCAGCCACACCCATAATCTTCATCTGCTCCCCCGCCCCTGAAACAGACGGAATTTAAGTAGCAACACTGTGCTGCTTTGCAAATACAATTTCAGAACAAGTCTTCTAGCCCCCACCCCATCTACCAGATTGCCACCCCTCAGCCCCTCTCTCCCCTTTGGAAATTCCTCAGCGAGTATTGAGAGAAATTATGTCTGGGTGTCAAGTTACTATGAAATGGAATTTCATGCACCCTAAATGCTGGTAATTCATATCATATTGCTAACTGTGGTTAATCATGTTAATAGGCTTGAGGTTCACCTACTGAGACTTCCTCATGCTGGGTCCAGTTGTTTGTAATTTTTTTCTCAGAAGCTTATCTTCATGGGTATTATTTCTAAGAAGCCGCCTGTGCCCTGAGGTGGGGAAGTGTCCCCAAAGAGAATTGGCTTGTTCTCGGTATTTTGCCTTTTCCCCAGAGGTTCAGGAGTCTTTCTGAGCTCATTTCTCGGTCTGGGATTGATATTCCAGCGAGGCAATTTACATCTAGACCCTGCATCCACATGGCACAGGCTGGGGATTTACATTTCCCCCAAGAGACTTTTTTACATGCATATACCAGACCCCAGACTGAGATGCCCAACTACATCCTGGACAGTTCGCTGTGTGCGTCACAGAGTCCTCAATTTCATCTTCCCAAAATTGAACCCCCCTAGAAAACCTGTGCCTCTCTGCAGCATTCCTTATTTCAGTAAATAACACGAGGCTGCCAAGTACGGTTGTGTAAGTGGTTCACTGCACAAGGGGCAAGGGTTGAGCTCTAGCTTGCACACTGCTCACCAAGTGGTATGTCCACGGGACTGTGTCCACAAAGAGGGCAACCTCCTCTAGGTGTGTAAAGATACCACCTGGGCCAGACTCCTCCTGTTGCCCTGGCAACAGCACCATCCACCTTGTCGCCACTCCTCCTCCTCCCATATCTTCCCCCACCCATACCCAGGCCATCCCCGAGTCTTGCCATTTACCTCCTAGCTAGCATTCAAACCCCCCTCCTTTGTGCCACCTCGGCTATAAGTTGCCAAATTTAGCAAATAAAAATATAGAACTCCCAGTTAAATTTGAACTTAAGAGAAACAAATGATTTTTAGTATAATTATGCCCCATACATCCATTCTGTCTTCCCTTTCTAAGAGAACCTCAGTTTTTACTCCAGCCCACACTGCACCCAACCACAGGAACACATTTCTAGCCAGACGATCCTACCCACACTCACACGATCACCACTAGACACTGCCCCCACTCTCTCACTGTATTTGGTGGAGGCAGATACATTTCCTCAGAAAATAAGTCATTGGAGAATATGATTTCTTATCTGATATGAGGCTGAGTCCCTCCGGGCCCAGAAATGTTTACTTGTCAGGTGTGTATTTCTTGCAAAGTCCAGGTGTTGGGTCCTCAAAGTCAGTAGTAGGCCCCCATCCCCAAGGCTAGGCTCTGACTGTTTCTCAACATTGAAAAGACACCAGGCATCTCAAAGAGGCCCCCACATCCTTTTCCAGAGCCCACTGGGAACTTGGCCAGTAACCCCCTAAAAGGTGCACCCTCCATGTCTGGCACATTGCCAAGGTATCACTCGCTCCTGATTTTCCAGCCAGGAATGAAAAGCCTCCCTAGGCCATTGCCACGATCTTGAAGCGATCCAATGCTAAAATACTTCACCGAGACAAATCCTATAAACAAGGCATTTACCTACCTAAGTTTTTTAAAAGTATGTTTTTATTGATTTGAGAGAGGGATGTGAGAGAGAAATATCGATTGGCCACCTCCCATACTCACCCCAAACGGGGACTGAACTGGAAGCCTGGGTGTGTGCCTTGACCAGGAATTGAACCAGCAACTTTTCGGTGCATGGTACAAGGATCAACCACCTGAGCCACACCGGCCAGGGCTACGCACCTAGCTTTTGAGGACCAAATGCCTAAGAGCAGAAGGAAACAATCTAACCAAACTGAATACCTCAACCTAGAAATGCAGACAATGGAATCATACAGAATATTCCTAAATCATTTGTGGAATTTTAAAAGTTTAATATTCTAATATCTTAATATTTTGATAACTTAGCAGAGGTTATAGAAACAGTCTTGGAACTGTCTTCATTTAGCTTATTGTGGACTTCAGTGCCACTAGCTGTATAACAATTTTCCCTCCGGTCCACAGAAGCATTTTCCATTTTTCTCAGGATCTGAAATTAGAATACCTTATGTGCAGTGTAAGTTGGTACTCTAATGAATTTACTTGTCAATGTCATTTATGGGTTGTTTTTATTAAACCTGAAAACTTCAGTTATTGAAAGTAAGAAGTGCGCACACACACACACACACACACACACACACACACACACCCCCCTGTGCACACACATTTTTACTTACCAAAGAACCTAAAACAAGATGGGGATCTTCATGTCTAGGAAGTTAAACCTCTTTGTGCCTAGATAGAAGAAAGGGCTGGGCCCTGGTCGGTATGGCTCAGTTGGTTGGAGTGTCATCCCGTGCATGGAAAGGTTGAGGGTTCGACTCCCCATCAGGGCACACAGCCAGGTTTCAGGTTTGATCCCCAGTAGGGGTGCATATGGGAGGCAACTGATCAATGTTTCTCACATTGATGTTTTTCTGTCTCTTTCAAATAAATAAAAACATATCCTCAGGTGAGGATTTTTAAAAAGAAAAAGAAGAAAGGGCTGGAGCAGCTATGACCCATATATTTTTCCCATTCGGTCTTTGTCTATGTCTTAGTCTCCCCAAAACACGCATGTGTGCACACAACAACCTGAAAGTTAGGGATGAAACTCATGTGCCAGCTGTTGGGAGTGCCATGGAATAAGGCCTGGCCACTTAAATGTGCCCACAGAGAACCCCAAATCCATAAAAATTGCCCTGATTTCCAGGGGATGGAATGTGGCCCTGAGCTTCAGAAATGTAAGCATTTAACAATTTTTTAAAATCATATCTACTCGGGCTCAGAGCAGCATCTAGGAATTATATAGACCTCTTTGAAATCTAAAAGACTACTAGAAATCTCAAACTGTATTTTAGTTTTTTTCTTAATCCCTTTACTGTGTAGGACCCCTTTCCTCCAAGCAGTTTCCTGTTCCACCAGGCGAATCCCATCCGGAAACTCCTGCAGAACCTTTGATTTGTCTATATTGCGTTCTCTGTTATCCACTCACACAGGTGCTTGCAGATGACATCTCTATATTTTAAGTAACAAGTATTTTTTTCAGAAGTCAATGTATCTGAGAATCTGTTGGCAACCTCTTTTTTCCTGTTTCTAAATTACTTGGTTTTATTTTGTTTCCTGTATTTGGTTGGGTAGCAGGGTGGGCCTTGTGTCCCAGGGGTAAGAGGATCAGCGCAGGGGTATGCTGATGTTAACCTGAGGAGTGGTCGGGAGCAGCTGCTGGCGGTAGCCATGTGTTCTCTCCTAGGGTGTGTACAGGCGTGTAGGAAGAGAGCATGAATGTGGCATGTTCTATGCCTGCTTCATCGCTTTGGCTGGGTCTGAAGACCATGTTTTGACAGGAAAAGAAATTGTGTCTCATGTTTTGGGCACTCTGAGTCTCTGCATGGGCCCCAGTTCTCTCTTTCCACTGTAAGGTTTTGGGGAGACCAAATCTGCACCCCTCATTAGCCAACCAGTGGGGTCTCCTTAGTGGAGAAAGAGATTGGCTATGGAAATGCTGAGTCATTGGTTTGACTGCTGAGAGTCGCAGCCTGGCTGTACAGGGGTGGCTTTCGTGCCCACCTTTTCCTCCAAACGTTTGCTCCTTGCCTGACTGATAAGAGACCCTAAGACTCATGACTGGTGCTCACCGAGCTGTCACCCTGCTTGGCTGTGTAGACAGGCAATGTTGAAGTGCTACAGGGCACTAGCATTAATAACCTGATAAAGAGCCAGCCCTCAACGTTTTTCTGGCATGTATCAAGTGAATAGTAGAGAAAAATCTCAAAAGGAATTAAGAAAATGAAAATAACTTTACCAAAATTAATGAAAGCTCACGTCTACATTTTACCATCAATTTGAGAGCATCCTTAGAAAACTAAATTTAACTGAATAAAACTCAATGTGGACTGTATAGTGGGGGTATTTTATCAGTGTTAAATTCTCTGAATTTGACATTTGCATTGTGATTGTTGGAGAATACCCCTGACCTTAGGAGATATATAGTGATGTTTACAGGTATGTAGGAGTAAAGGGTTATGATGTGTGCCACTCACTCTCGAATAATTCAGCAAAATAATAATAGCAATAATATGAAAAGGAGCGTGCATACAAATTTGGACAATCATAGAATCTAGGTGAAGGATGTGTAGGTATTTGTTCATTGTACGATTCTCACAATTTTTCTGTAAGTTTGAAAGTTTTCAAAATATAAAGTTAAAGAAAGCAAAGCACAGTGATTCCTCATGGAAGTCCAACATCTGATTGAAAACACAGTCACAATGACAGAAGTGTGACTTCCAATCAGCTGGAAGAGGCTCTCCAGAGTGCTCGGGTACATGCTCGGGGGGCCTGTTTCTGCTCAGGATTGTCTTGAAGTGTCCAAAGCACCTGTGGATAGAGGCACAGAGTTAAAAGCTGCGCCCCAGTAAAAAACTAAGAGTTCTCAACCAACACACTCAACCTATGAAGTGCGACCATGCTATCTGCCCAAGGGACCACCTGGGGCAAAGCACACCATCCACTCCGGGAGAGGCTCAGCCTTTTCTCATCTCCATGGAGAAGCCTCTCGAAAGCCTGCTCTTCGGGGCTCGCCTCCAGTTTTTCTGCTATTCTTTGAAGGTTCCTGAACTCACCAGCGGAGTATAAACTGTGTATCAAAGGGATTGCTGGCTGCCAGTTGTCAAGCTCCTCAACTTCTCTGATCTCATTGTTCAGCTTGTTGGCCTTCTCCTTCACCCAGAAAGGCAAGCTGCAGGAAGAACACAGCGCCCGGAATTTGCATTTGTCTGAGGCAACATTTATAAACAGGTTAGTAAGGAGGCCTCCGATTTAGACGACCAGTATCAAAATAACACACCATGCTGATCGTTCACCATGTGCCCCTGCCCCAAACCCAGATCTTTTCCCCGCCCTTCTCTGTCTGGGAGGCTGATCCCTGCAGCTGTCATCCCCTTGACTCCTCCGTGCCCCCACCTTTGAGCTGGGCTTGGCTAACAAGAAGGTGAGAAGAGAGAGGGTGGGATGCTTCTTACCTACCTCCTGCCTGTCTCCTGAGGTACCCCAGTTCTGGCAGCGGCTGCACTCTCCACTGCCAGGAACCCCTTCCGAGCAGCCCTTTTATGTCCCCCACTGCTCTGCGAGCCGTGATCCCTCCTCTTGCTGCTCGGACCCAGGAGTAGTAAGAGCTTCCCACTGACGGGAGCCCCTGTGTGCTTCACCCTCCCATGTGAGTTCTCTCAACTTGCTCGCACGTCTGTGAACAGTTCCTTCAGGAACCTGCCCTCGGACTCCCAGCTGAGTGAGCCTTCTGTTTTCTGCTGGGACCTCAGCTCATGCAGACAGGCAGGGTCCCCCCAGGTCCGTTGAGATGTGAAATGGCACATGCTGGGCTGCACTGTGTGCGCAGCTATCAGGCAATGTGACTCCTGGGATGGGTTGAGGCAGGGAGATGAAGAATGTTTTAGTGTTTTGGCAGCTACAACTTTCATCCGTTTTTTTAAAGATTTTTGTTGTAGTTGTTGTTTGTTTGTTGTTGTTTTTGAGAGAGAGGAAGGGAGACGGAGAGAGAGAGAAACATCGATCAGCTGCCTCCTGCATGCCCCCTACAGGGGATCGAGCCCGAAATCCGGGCATGTGCTCTGACCAGGAATCGAACCAGCAACCCTTTGGTGCATGGATGACCCCCAACCAACTGAGCCACACCAGCCAGGGCAGAGTAGAAACTGTGTATCCTTTAAGGAGAAATGCACCATGATTGGGGAAAAGCGCTGATCAGCCAGCTGAGGGTAGGGAAATCCCTGCAAGGAGGAAGCAGATCGCCATATAGACAACAGATGGCAGTCAAGGTTATCATTTAAAGCTATCACTTAAAGACAGACCAATAGTAGAAACCCAAATAAAAGCAGCAGGACAGAGCAACACACTGGCACATATCTCTTTCTAGGTTAGAACCTTACTTGAGTAAATAAATAAAGTTCAGAATGGAACTAAGCAAAATATGAGGTCAGAGGAAAGATACTTCCTTCAAATACCGGAATGCTCCTTGGCTTTCTCTCTGCCTTTTCAAACTCCCACTGTCCTCCCTGGCTGCACTCATTTAAGCACGTCTCTTTCTTTGCCAGCAGAATCTTATGTGTCGGAAATCAGGGGTCCTGTCGTTTTGCTCCATATGATCCCTCCCTGTACACCACATGGCATCTGGGAGCCTGTCAATCATATCTTGAGACTGACAGCTGAGATTGACAGCCCAGCTGTCAGGCTCCACAGACACTTGCCAACAAGTGTCTCACCCCAAACCCTCCATACAACTGCCCCGTCCACCTGCTGGGATGCAAAAGGTCCCTGTGTGCTGGGTGTCTGAGCTCTTCCACAGGACAAAAGAATAAATTGATATTTTCATAAAAATAGGATAATAAACACCACGGTGAGAGAACTCACTTGGGAATTTGTGGGAGAGGCTCAAGTGGAATAAATGTATCAAATTTCTTTTCATAAGGCGCTCTGAAAAACAGGAAAGGCGGTCATAAAGCTGGCTTGCTTCAGCATCAAAGAGATCGGTACATCATCGCATTCAGCACAATGTCTTCTATTCTAAGCCAGTGAGAGAAAGACAAGTACAGCATGACTTCACTCATATGTGAAATTTAAGGAACACACTGAACTACCAAGCAAAATAGAGACAGGCCCAGAGAGCAGGCCTACAGCTGGGGGG